TGCGGCAAACGAAAGGTCGTGGCGTGGACATAGTTTTAAATTCATTGGCGGAAGAAAAGTTAATCGCATCTGTTCGTTGTTTAACGCAAAACGGCGTTTTTTGGAGATCGGCAAATTTGACCTTGTTTCTAACAGTCCTTTAGGTATGTCAGCGTTTCAGAAGGGTATTCACTTTTATGGAATTCTACTTGAAAACATGTTCGATGACAATCACAAGTATAAATCCTTATTATCAAAAATGATAGCCGATGGTCTCAATAATGAAACTATTAAACCACTCCAAGTGAAAATTTTTCCAAAAACAAATATCGAAGAAGCTTTTAGATATATGGCGAGTGGAAAACATATGGGAAAAGTATGCTTTTAACTAATTGACAGTAGAAAAATTTATTCATAAATAATATTCTTTTATATCTATAAATAGATCTGTTACAGTATTTATTTTTAATACGTATAATTATTTTTACAGATAATTTTAAATATTCAGGAAGAAGATAAACCTTTGGACAATCACATACTCGCATATCCTCGCTATTATTGTCTCAAATATAGAAGTTACATTATACTAGGTGGACTAGGTGGATTTGGCTTGGAGTTAACTGACTGGCTGATATTTCGAGGCGCTAGAAACGTGATATTGGTTTCACGAACTGGAATAAAAAAAGGTTATCAGCGTATGAAAGTTCGCCTGTGGAAGTCGTACGGTGTAAATGTGCTGATTGTCAAGGACATTGATGTTGCTAACATTCAGGATTGCGAATATCTTTTGCGAACTGCGGAAAGAGAAGGACCAGTGGAGGCGATATTCAATCTTGGTGTGGTATTGAAGGATAGTGTTTTGAAAAATCAAACTGCTGAAACCTTTGCAGAGTCCTTCCAATCGAAGGCTCGAGCAACTCAAATATTGGACAAACTTACTAGAAAGATCTGCCCTAAACTGCGGCATTTCGTCGTATTCTCTTCCGTTTCTTGTGGCAGAGGAAACGCTGGCCAAACTAATTATGGCATGGCCAACTCCGTCATGGAGAGAGTGTGCGAGAAGAGAGCGGAGGAAGGATTACCTGGATTGGCAATTCAGTGGGGAGCTATAGGCGACGTTGGTCTCGTCGCGGACATGCTGGAAAAAGATAAAGAATTGATTATCGGTGGCACTTTGCAGCAAAAAATAGTCAACTGTCTCGATGAGCTCGATAAATTTTTAATTCAAAACCGGCCAGTTGTGAGCAGCATGGTCGTAGCTGAAAAGAAAGCGGGATCTTATGGACTTGGCAGTGTAGTCGATACTATTGCCAATATTTTAGGTAATTGAGCTCATGTAGAACTATTTTTTTGCACGAATAGTCATGAATTTAATTGTTTTGACATGATTTCATTATCAAAACTGTGGTCCGAATGCTACTTGTGTTACTCATATAATTCATGCTGTTATCGAATGGTAGAACGTCTTTCCGGCAAATAAGGAAATCCAGGTTCAAATCCTGACTGAGATAATATTTTTCGCAATAAATTCTTTATAGATTCAGGGACAAGAGTATTTTCATAGATGTTTGCTAGCATTAAAAATATTAAATTGATTGTCAATATAATTTCTTACAGTAAATTCTGGCTTTATGTAAAAAAAAAAACTGTGTTTTAAGACCGACAAAATGTACGGTGCGAAGTTTGTGTGTGGCACAATATTGTAACAATAAAAATTTTTATACCCACTCTTATCCATATTGGCTCACATTGGCATTACTTTGTAATCTCTGATTTACATAATTCAATTTATATTTAAAAACTATTACCGTAATGCGTTTGTAGAAACTATTTTTATCTAATTTTTATCCAGCCAACAATTTGGAAAAATTATCGATATAATGACGCACCGAACAATTATTAATTTAATCTCGTGACTTATTATATTTACTACCAAACATACATTATTTCATAATTCTATTTTATGTTACAGACTTAAAAGACGTGAAACTTGTAAGTCGGAATGCGGCTTTAGCCGAACTTGGAATGGACTCTATGATGGCCGTTGAAATCAAGCAAACTCTTGAACGAGAATTTGATATTTTTCTAACTGCACAAG